AAAACATATCTCCCATCATATTATATTAATTTTCCAACAAATGAAAAATTCTATCAAATTATGTCATCAAAAAACAGTAATATAATTAGAAAAGTATGTTTATTTATTTATCATGCATTTAAGAGAAAGGAAAACAAAGAAACACGGGTGTATTAATGAAATGTATTTAAAGTACGGTATTGTCACAGCACGCTTATTTAATTTGTAATAATTTTGTTTTACAAGGGGCCGGAGGCCTAGAGTTTGATGAATAAATTCCCTGTATGGGGAGCATGGATATATATATATACATCATAAAAACAAGTAAATGTATATATATATGTATACTGTATATATATATATATATATATATATATATATATATATTAATTTATAGTTCCATAATACAGATTTAGAATCAAAATCTAAATAATGTTGTTTTTTCCAACTATCGTATACAATTTCTTAAATCAATATTTAATTGTTTAGATAAAATCTCCTGTTTCAAATTTGAAGACGATACTCAAAACTGTGGAAGTGACTGGACGGAAGCAGTCATTCAGAGCAAGAAAGACATAGACTACATAACCACCAAAGCTAAGTACCATCTGCCCCCAAACTCTACTTTCACAACGAAAATTGTGATTAACATGAAAATAGAAAAGTTCCTCAACATATTCACAACGGACACATGTTTCAACAAAACAGTTTATTCAAATGTAATGATGAAGAGGAATGGTTGCGCCACTTTTAACATTTATGAACATGGGTACCAAGTGACAATGACAAAAGTTGGCAAGAATACACCGTGTGGAATTATGTCAGATGAGGGCGTGCTATGTTTCTCGAATATCAATGTTTGGGACCAGACGACAAGAGCAATGAATGGTAATTACTTCTCTTGAAGAAAATTAGAATTAGATCTAATTACTTTATTCACCAAATTTCTACAAACTTAAATGAATATATTATATAACAAGGAAAGTTAAAAGAATGTGTTTGATTGTCGAACTGTTTCTAGGTAGTTGAGTGTAACTAATTTGTTTTCTAATCCCATAATGAGATTTAGACAAACACACCATTATTTCCATCCTATTTGTATGTAGTCACAATTTGTATAATAATAATAATAATAATAATAATAATAATGATAATGATAATAATAATAACAAAATCAAATGATATTTATAACTTATATTCAACTCTACATAATACTATATGCATGTTAACAAACTTTTTTTTTGTTTTTATCAGAAATGACAACTTTGTTTGATTATAAAACATCATCTATCAGTGACTCTATGGCAAACTCTGTGACAAACTTTGTCCAGATTACAAACTCTCCTCAACTTGAACAGTCGACAACGGAACTCTTCCCTGTTACAGCACTTGCCAGTAATACTAAAATAGAACTCGTTGCCACAATCAATAGTTGTTGGTTAGTATATCGCAATTGATATCTATACAGTAACAATTCTATTAGGGGAAAAAATTCGTGACCAAAAAAGCGTTTGTGTGGCTGGAAAAGTGTCTTCTTAAAAGAGGTGTCCCAAAGGAGGAATTGTATAAGCCACTTTGAGTTTTGAAGGTTTATGCATACTAAAACAATAATTCCAATTTAAATTACTAGAACATAATGCAAAACAGGTAAGTTTTCTTCAGACATTCATGGGTTATCTTTGGTGTTTACACCAAATAAATCCATCTATCTACCGTCGCAAAAAAAACAAAACACAGAGCCAACTCGGGCGGATCGTTAGGCCTTGTTTAGCTAGGACGAGCCTACCGAGCGGATCGACGCAGGACAGAGAAAGGGGTGTGTCAAATTCTGGCCGGCGGACTGAAAGCGGTCCGGCCTCCTTGCAAACACCGAAATATGGGCTTACTTGCCACTCGAGACCTATGATGCTAGGCCTCGTTTTGCTAGGCAGAGCCGACCAAGCGGATCGACTGCGGCGATTTTTTTTTATGGCGCAACAGGGCGAAGGATTGTAATCTCACCGTCATTTGTTAGATATGTTATTCAATTACAAATATAGAAATGATAATGTATAAAATACAAACTAGCATTAGATTAAGTGAAATTGAGATGCTATTTAGTTTGAGGTTAAATATAGCTGATGAACGCCACCAGTACCAACATCACTGATGGCAAAAATAATGCATAATATACATAGACATAAATACAATACACACAAAACAATTAAGGTATAAATTCACATCAAACATTAACGATAATGCATCTTTTGGAACATCTGATAAATAAGATTATATATATATATATATATATATAAGATGTGTATAAGAGACAGGTATCTTATTTCATACACTACCTCACAGGTATATTTGTATTGATCTTGTCTTTTGATCGAACCACCGAATTCTTAATCTTATTTGTAGGGAAGTGTTGAATTCATTATTGCAGGCCTAAAGTCGTCCCATATATTGAGCGTGTTGCACAGACAGGTGAATGCTACGAAGACAAAACATCAGGTACACAATCTGTAGTAAAGTAATGCACATGTGCCCGGTATCAAGGATATCGTATGATATTGTTAAAATAAGTTACTTGACAAGTTCATCAGGTAACTATGATGTCATGTCTATATCTTGTCCAATGAATTCTTCATTACTGCATCGACAATATTATATATATATATAGGCCTATATATATGTATATGTATATACATAAATATTTATAAACAAACAGATAAATAAATATATCAACATAAGTTCCATAATTAAAAATTAGAATTAAAATCTAAGTAATGTTGTGTTGTACTTATATAATTTCTTAAACCATGTTTTAATTGTTTAGATAAAATCTCCTGTTTTAAATTTGAAGATGATACTCAAAATTGTGGAGGTGACTGGACAGAAGCAGTAATTCAGAGTAAGAAAGACATGGACTACATAATCACCAAAGCTAAGTACCATCTGCCCCCAAACTCCACTTTTAAAACTAAATTTGTGATTAGCATGAAAATAGAAAAATTCCTCAACAGATTCACAACGAACACATGTTTCAACAAAACGGTTTACTCAAATGTAATGATGAAGAGGAATGGTTGCGCCACTTTTAACATTTATGAAGATGGGTATCAAGTGACAATGACAAAAGTTGGCAAGAATACACCATGTGCAAGTCAGCCAGAAGAGGGCGTGTTATGTTTCTCGAATATCAATGTTCAGGACCAGACGACAAGTGCTATGAATGGTAACCATTTTTTTTCCAAGAAAATTGGAATTAGATTTACAGATTTACTTCATTTACTAAATTCCCACTTTAGTAAACAAAAGTGAATTCTATTATATAGAATAGTTAGAAGAAGGTATTTTACCATTTGTTGTGGAACAGTTTCTAGGTGCGTGTATTGAACCAAATCTGCTGTATAATTGCATATTAAGTTTTAGTGACACACAGGATCACTCTTATCTGTATAACATATAGTCACATGTTTTTAAATAAAAATAAATAAAAAGAAAACCAACCAAATAAATAAAATCAGATAATATGTATAACTTCGAATTACCTCTAATAAATACTAACATATTTACTCAAATATTAACTGATTGACAATATTTTGTTTTATCAGAGATGACGACGACTTTATATGATTATAAAAAATCATCTGTTAGTGACTCTTCGCAGCTTGAACCGTCAACAACGGAACCCTTCCCTGTTACTATGGTCATTATCATCGGTTCTGTTTGTACGTTTGTTGTCATACTTCTATCATTCGGATGCTTCTGTTTTGGAAGACACAAAGAGGTTAGAAATGTACGATTTTATGTAAATAATACTTATGAAAATGGCTAATTGTCACAATTTTCATGTATATATGTATATGTATACACACATATATATACATATATGAATATATACATATATATATATATATATATATATATATACATACATATGTACAGTACATATATGAATATATACATATATATATATATACATACATATATTCATATACATATTAAATATATATACATATATATATATATATACAGTATATATATATATATATTGTTGATTTATAGCTCTATTATTAAATTATTATTTCTTGTTAATTGTTGCTTTACCCATTCTCTCCATGAGACTATCTGAGGTCATTGACCAACTTTTTAGTATTATAGTAGACTTCAAAACCCCACCAAAATACGAAACATGTGAAATAATCATTTAGCTTTACTTTGATTTATTTTAGTTTTGTTATAATTTATTATTTATCTAATTCACATTTTCTTTTTATTAGGCTGCTATAAATATTAGTATGATAATATTATAACAATTTATAGACATGTGATGAGATCAAACGTATTATTATAAAATTAATTATAACAAATTAAATGTTGTTGCTCTATCCACTCTCTGTAAAAATATCTAACATCATTCACCAAATTTTCAGTATGGTAGACTGTAACATGTGAAAGGGATTGTTTAGATTTACTTTTGATATTTCTTATTTTAGTTTTGTTTATTACTATTTTTTAAATAAGGCTATCATTAATTTTAATATAATAGTATTATAATAATTTATAGACATGTGATGAGAACAAGGTTATTATATTCATTATTATCTTAAATTTTAGTATGTTAATTATGTTAATATTATTAATATATTATATTTAATTTGTCTTATTTTCATGGGATTCAGCGAAAAACAAGTAAGCAAGAATCAGGTAAACGAGAGATACACGGTAAGTGACATCATGTAGCAACATGACTCACTCGAAATGATGACCTAATGCATTATTGAGTCATATTAACTACTGTAACTAGTAGTTTGAACAAATCACGTTTATTAGAATTGGTCATTAAGTAATAACAAGAATCCAAATTCTATTATAAACGGGTTTTATTTCTATTATATATATTTAAATAAACATCACAATTTTCCACAATACAAACATTGACTTGTATGATATTGACTTGATGTATAATAATTTCTTGTATAAATTTGAAGGAAGAAAATAAATGTTTATTTGAATTTGAATTAAAATTCACCAAATTTTTTTTATGAAAATTTTTTTTATGAAAATAATATATGCAGTGAATTGCTGCTAAGTGGGGAGGCGGGCATATCACGAAGGAACAGAGTTCCTGTCCAATCAATGTTTGGAATACACAAGGCACCCATCAACAAAACGAATAGTCACTCAAAGATATTTCGGGGAATTAAGACGATTTGGCTCAGTGGTTTCCATTCTGGTTGTTGTCAGGAGTTCAAACTACACGCTCTCCAATCTCGGCCGGCCATGCTTACCCCAACTTGCGTCGTTGGCAGGCTGTAAAGTGACTCAGGCTATGTTTCTGCCCTAGGTGGAAGAATTATATAAATTAAACTTATCATTACATTGTGAATGTACACTATTTAGCCAATATGCGCACGTTAGTTTACTTTATTCAGATGTAAACATGGAGCTTTAATAATACTGATTATAGCTCCATTATCAGATTACGAATGCACTTGATCATCTCATATCCATGTAGATTAGACTATTCCGCATTACCACTTTTGAATTTGACCAGGTTTATTAAATAATCTTCAAGAATATTTATACAACGATTTTATGATTTGTTTCAAATTATTATTTTTTTTTGCAGATGATGTTGTACTTATTCCGATGCAACCGGGGATTTGCAATACTACATATGATATGGAACCAGAGCCACTCTATACTACTATCATGGACAGTAGCGCCTATACTGCTCTTATGAGATCACGTTCTGAAACAGCATTGAACGTTGGTGGCGGACTTCTCTTACCACAAACTGGGTCTCTTCAAAGATTAGTCGGAAGCAAGGGGTCTACCGGCACATGTCGATCATATCAACATAAAATAAATCTCGGAGATATTACAAGGACATCAGGGGCACGAACATGTTTAGACTCTCCTGTACAAGACGCCGATTACGTCAATAATATTAAACTAGTGTCTGGCTCTAAAACGGCTATGAAAGCCGATACAAATTCTACGAAATTTGCAAGTTACAATGATGATGGCATTAACACGTTTGATGAGGGTAGGAACATTAATGATATTGAAGCCGTGAAAGACAAACGAACAACAATAACAACAGGGCAAGTTGACGCACACAAGACAGGAAGTAATTATGAGAAATGTGGCGGATTGACTGACAAAGACGGATACTTAGCATTGAATGTGGACACAATCAGAACAGGTGACGATGATATATACCTTCAGCCGGACTTTTGCGGTGATACATCATCAATGACAGATATTCATTAAATTAAAAATTTATATATAAACTATTTATTGTATTTCCTTATAATAATATTAATAAGAAAAACAAATATTTAGGTTGACAAAAACAGCAGCAACAACAACAACAACAACAACAACAACAACAACAACAACAACAACAATAGTAATAATAATAATAATAATAATATTAATAAATAATAATAATAATATTAATAAATAATAATAATAATAATAATAATAATAATAATAATAATAATAATAATAATAATAATACCTACTTTTTTATACAACTCTGTAAACACCGATGTACTGTACTTTAGTGTCTTTATTGACAAATGTTTGTACAATAGTCAAATTGCCCAATGTATAAGGTTGTTTGTACTATCAACTGCGCATGACCATTTCAAAAGTCAAAAAAACATTGATATGGCTTACACGATTGTCTACAATTTTATAAATCGTTATTAATGTACTTACTTTTTGTTGACAATCACTGTATATATAGTAGCCGAATAAATACAAAAAACTATAATCATAAGATCCGATTATCATTGCTTTTGTTTAAAGTAGGTCTATGGATAGAGGTATAAATTAAACCTCCATGGTCTATGTGAAGCCTATTTACAATATGATATTTAATGAGATAATTATTTTATTCATTCCTGAACAAAATGTTCTGTGATCTGTGTCGATGGTGTCGATTTTAGTTTAATTCATTTCACTTTCGTGTGGTAGCCAGATTCTACTTAAACGGTATTTTATACACAACACAAGGTAGGCCTATACTGTACGATTTAAGTTTATTCACTCCACTATTCAAACACTACTGTCTATTATTCTTATACTACTCAAGTCCACTACTTAGTTATACAGTACAAATTATGCTAAATAATACTAATTCTTTGGCATATTGGGAGGGGTGCTACTCATGTGATGTCGGTTACTCTATTTATGTGACTCGGGGTAGATCCCGATAGAACAGAGTAGATAAGAGTGAAATATCATTGGCTATGGTTGTTAATTTAGGATTAAATATTTATGGCACCTGCATTATTTAATTGGGGCGAAATAATTCGCCAAGAATTATATCAGCTACCAATGAGTAGCACCAGTGTGAGTATGTTAAATGGGAAGAAGTTGGGGACTGTTGGGTAGAAAAATTAGAATCATATCTGATGCAGCGAGGTGCTGTTACAACAATGATACCAGTTCAGTTGCGTAGGCGGCTTAGGCCTACACCGGAGCCCTGCCTTAGTCCATTGACTTATTTTGATTGGGTACTTGTAATTAGTATACCAATCAATAACTATGCTAATTACAAGTAGATATACCTGTAATTATCATACCACAAAAAAAAAAAACTAGGCTTTAGACAGTGGTTTATACCATACATCTATGAGAGACAGTTTTCCGTAACTTTACCAATACGGTCCATCGGTCTGCTTGTGGTAACAAATACATTCCGTTTTTCTTAGAAGGCACTACAAAGCTAAACCACTATCACTTAAAAAGGATGCGTTACTGATACGGTACATTAGTGTATAAACTATAATTTAACATATTAAATTTGCTTAAGTCTCGTAAATGGAATGTTGGCATTATTCATCATTACCATTCCGTTGATCCGTAAAAGAATAAGTCGACTTTCGAATATGTTGTTGATTTCAGTATGAAATAAAATATATAAATATAATTATTTTATACAATAATCTACTGTAATAATTGATAATAGGCCAAACAAAGTAAGTATTGGCTTGTCTAAGTATGCCTAACAAGAGAAACAATATTGTGTTTCAAATATAGTCCTAGTGTGCACTTTAATCAAGATAAGAATATTCTATAACGAAACCACCATCAAATGGCGATGCTAATAATATAATATTCATAATCATTTTTATGTGAATATTGTTATTACTAAGGATCATATTTGTATTAAAAAAGTTGATAATTCTAAGAAAACCACAAGTAATGTGATAACTAGTGAGGAAATATAATCAGAGACCTTTTTACCGTTACTATCACACAATGTGACGGATATATACCAGGGGATTAGCGGATGCAATCACCTTCGAAAAATAATACTACAAGTCTACTATACCAATACGTCATCTCCTGGTAGATTTTTTATCACCGACACTTTCATTCCACACATACAGTGGTAGATTGTATTGCGTTGAGGATATAAAGGAAAGTGTGTGAAATGAATATGGATTATTATAGATTGGAAACCGGTGAAATGTTAGCTGGTCGGCGCATTTCTGTTTGTTTCTTGGCTGCAATATTCTCCAATCTTTTTTTCGTTCCGACATGCCACGGCAACCTGGTGACCAGTTATACTATACAACGATGCTGGTAAGTTGGGTACACACTTGACATTTGTATACTTCCTGACTAGGAATTATAAATGCAAGATAATACAATTATAACAGCAGGCCTTGGGACTGCAAGCGGACAGCTAATACAAAGAGCATAGGCCAACAACAATATTATATTATTCACCATTTCCAGACACAGTCACATATGGTATGATTTTGGGCTTAGTAATATTCGGCAGGCTTATGCTTAAGCATCAGATAAATTAAAGCCGCTACATCATTCTAGTTGGTAGTATAAACTTATGAGAGCGTGTATTCCATTAGATATAATTATTTTCTGATTATTGACGCCTACTTTATTATATAGGCCACTTTATAAATGTTTTGTAACTGCTTTGGCTTTTTGTTATTTGATATTTTTGTTAACAGGACTGGAGCTGTCATATCAAATAGTCAAAAAGAAAAAAATATATAATTCGACACAATAGAGGGTATATCTAGACCAAATTGAGCCTTGACCCTAAGCTATGCCTGGTTATTATTTTATTATTAGTTATTTTGTTGTTTGTACTGTAGACTAACAATAGATGATATCATTTTGACCTACTGTACCAGTTACAGGCAAATTCTAAAGGAAAGAAGAAAAAAAACCCTACAGTAGTCCGTTTGAGCATTGCTATTTTCATCCGAAATGCTAAACTTGAATTACTTTAAAAAAGTATATTGCTACGAAAATCTAAAATCGGTAAATAAAAAAAAATAGCTCACTTTGTATCTGTAAACAATTGCAAACAACTGAAACACCTTACGAATATACATATCTAATCGTAATAAGGCAATGTATAATATGTGACCGTTGGAAATAACCTACATCAACTCTAATTGTTTACATGTATTTATATAAGTTTACAATAATCAATGGTTTGGATTTATCGTTTCCAACCTTGGCGAACCACTCGACAGTGATTTGTTTCGCTTTATACTAATCCCCTCAGGTAGTTAATTTGTATGTAAGTATTTGTATTTTCTCGTTTCCGTGAATATGTTGTTTCTTCTTGAAGAGAGGATAAGTGAAATGAAATGCAACCAGTGGCGGATTAAAAAAAATCGAAATCGAGGGGGACCAGGCTGGACATTGTCAGATGGGGGACCTAGAGTTCTCAGTCCCTCCAGGGTTAGGGTCGAGATACAAAAGTACATATTTATGGCACTTCTAGATTCGGCACACTCAAACTTAAATTTAAATGTAATGTCCCCATTGTTGTTTAAATTTGCCAAAATTTTGGGGGAGGAGGGGAGGCAGCTGCTCTCCCTTATAATCTCCTTGCAACAGTATAAATCTCAGCAAAACACGAACATGGATCATATTGTTTCCAATCAGCCTAAATTACTGTTGGTTGTATTTTTGTCCGAGTAAACTTTTAAAGACGCTGAATTGTTCTTATGCTACTAATGAAGACTTGTGTCATTTTAAAGTATTTTTTTAAAGTGAAATTAATCATCGTCTTTTTATACAGGTCTGACGTTGAATATTCAGTAGCCACCACACACACGAATGCCAGCACAACATGTTTTACTAAAAATTCAGAAGGTAAATAATAGAGATAATAAAACAGTTGTTGCAATGTTTTTAATGATTACCGGTATGTATTTTACATACTTTAGTGTAAATATCGTTATAGTATATCTCCTAGAAAGCTTATCCAAGCAAAGTAAATAATCTCCTTTTCTAGATAGGCAAAACTAATGTTTTTAAATAGGATTTTTAAAATTTGGTCAATTGATTGATTTAGGGACATTTAACTGTTAAAAGTCCGTGATTGATTGTGGTGTGAGGACGCTGATAAAAACAATTCGTAGAATGATGGCACTATGATTTTTTTTGTCTGCAATGAAAATCTATATAAACAACTTGCTAGAAAGATATACATTATTAGTAAGCCTGGTATAAAATATTAAAACTTGATTACGAATTGTGAATATTATAGTAAATATATCTGTTGTCTAGTATTGTATAATTTGCTGAATTTCTTTAAATTCATAATATTGCTGTGCTCAATTTTACTGTTTTCAGATGCAATTTGCTACGAGTTAAAATCCGATGTCTCAACATGTAAACCGCCTTGGGAAGTAGTGTCCATCACAGACCCTGCAACTTTTGATCACATAGCAGTTGCGATGAGGAATTCCACTCTTCCCTATTTTCCAGCCAGAATATCAGGCGATTTAGCTACTGAGGGCTTCTTGAATTATTTTTTAGACAGCTCAGAGTGTTCGTCCAAACAAGTTGTCAACGGTGCCGACATTCAAAATGGCTCATGCGGGCTGCTGAAAGTGTACGAAGCAAACTATGAAATACACTTTATACGCGAGTCATGCGAACAATTTGAAAATAATATGTATGCTTGTTCTAAGACATTAGCAATAGGTAATTAACTCTTCACTCTCCTGCTAAATAAGATAAATAGAATTATAATGCCACATACATATAACGATGAATTTTGGTATTTAGATAGTAGACTCTAATAGTAGTGTAGTAGTATGAACTCTGAAAAAATTGATACAAGCCATCGAAGTTTAATGTAAAAAAACACTATACTGTACATAATTATAACGTAATTTCCAAATAAATCTAGCAAACGCTGCTGCAGTGTTGCGTTAACGTCATTTTCTGAAGTAACCTAACCACAGCGTACACAACGTTTGTAACTTGGCCCTATAATAACGTTTGCGTATTGTTTTTAAAACAAAATAAAAATGAAACACTTATTTTGAATTTTATTAAGATATCAGAACATAACATAGGCCTAAGACTGATCTTAACGTCTGACCAATCAGAACAACAGGAATACACGCTTGTTCCTACAAACACAAGCATTGTCCCAGTCACAAAAACGCAAGTGTTAATGTACGTTTATGCTGTCGTTTCGAGAGTCCTTGTCAAAAATATAATATAATATAAGGGGCGGAGCTCAGCAAAAATATTCATTTATCACCATTTTTAGTCGTTATTAATACGTCAGAAAATCAAGTAAAATTATTTTCAAAATATAGAGTACTGTATGTAATATTTAACGTTAATATTATGTGGTTAATCTTTAATTTGGAAATGTTTGTTTGATGGTGGCTGATACAGTATATTATTAATAATTTCTAGAATTTGCATATTGATATATTAGAAAATAGGTAAAGAAATACTAAAA